AACCCATCCGGTATCATCTGGTCAGAAACCCCCCGGTCAGAACCCATACAGTCAGAACCCATCCGGTCAGAACCCATACATTCAGAACCCATCCGGTATCATCCGGTCAGAACCCCCCCTGGTCAGAAAGAACCCCTCTGGGGTCAGAACCGACCTGCTCATGGTGGCCAGCTGGGCCACCCCCTGGTCGGTGACCTGCGTGTAGTCGGTCAGGTCCACCTCGGTCAGCAGGGAGAGGCAGCTGAGGAAGGCCAGGCCGCCGTCCGTCACCGTGTGGCGCCCGGGGAGCGTGAGGTGCGTCAGCCTCAGGCCTGAAAGAACAGCCCACAGCTCACACTTCATTTATTTTCCTCGACTAGCGATGTGTCCCTTCGTATCGAGGCTTCGAAGCGCGTATTGAGAAATCCAGGATGATTCCTGTGAAGCGCGTATCCAGGCTTGTGTCGATGACGTATGCGGCCGCACCACGTGACTCGTGATTCAGGAAGTGGTTCGCAGTTTGGCGATTTATTTGAAATATAAGGGCCAGCAAAACGCAATGAATCCCCCCCACTCACATTTTGTGGACTTGGGACTTAATTAAGTGTGTTAGCGATCTATTCAGGCTTCCCTGTCATTGTATCATAAAGACAGACACCATATAAAGGTTTATAGTTTATGTATAAGCATCACAAACATCCATCCGTCCTTTAAGGTAACGGCAGCATCACAAACATCATTGATTAATTAATTCAATGCTTCAGACACCAAAGCCAGAGTCTCATTAGAATCGTGCTGTACGTTTTACATTTATTGTCCACTTGATGGCACCATAGAGAAAATGAAGCACCATGAAGCTTCAACACACGAGTGATCCAATTGGATGGAACACTTCAAAGCTTTATGAAGCTTCATCTCGCCTCACTATCCCTGACCCCTCGCGGCGTTTTTTTTGGGCCGTCCCATTTCCGTTTACCAACCTGAGATGATCTGAAGGGTGCGGTCGCCGTCCAGTCCAGAGATCCCCCCCAAGCTGAGCGAGGACAGGGAGGGGTGGGCGCCCAGCCTCTCCAGGGACCCCTCTGTGACCCCGGTGCCGTCCAGATTAAGCGTCTGGAGACCGGACAGCTCCGCCAGGGCCGTCACGTCCATGACCTGGTCCACGGACACACAAATAGTAGGGATGGGACGGTTCACAAAATCCACGGTTCGGTTCGATTCACGGTTTCGTGGTCACGGTTTTCGGTTCAGTTCGGTTCGGTATATGTTGATTGTTAGGAAAATCTATTATGTCTTGTATAGTCAGGTTAAAACTGAAAGAAAAAAGCAGTCTTAGGTTAAAAGTAGGTGAGATTCTGGCATTGCAAGCGAGGAAACAGTGCTAATTCCAACATGTGCTTCACTCTAAATGCAAAGTGGTCCCATACAGCAGACTTATAAACTGCTGTTAGCGCGTCGGATTATTATTATCGGCTACGCTGCTTCGCTTCTTCTTCTTGTTTACTACTGGTGGTTGGCTTTGGGCGCAGTAGCGCCCCCTTCTGCTCTGGAGTGTAAACGCTTCCCTCTGAGAAAAAGGAGCAGCATGAACCGTAAGCAACACACGCGTACCGAACCGAGACAGTCGAACCCAACGGTTCGGACGGTTTTCAGAAACCGTCCCCTCCCTAACAAATACACTCTCAGACTGTTGTCGGTTTGCGATCAGAGCCCGGAGGAGAGCGGACAGACCTTGGTCTGCTTTATGCTGAGCAGCCGGAGCTGGGGCACGCAGGTGGAGAGCACGGCCAGCGTGGCCTCGGTCACCGCCGTCTGGTTGAGGCTGAGCTGGGTGAGGCAGGACGGGGCGGACTGCAGGTACGGAACCATCCCCGCATCGCTCACTTTGGTCTGGTCCAGCGACAGGAAGCACAGGCTCTTCAGACCTTGAGGGGAATCAACGGAGCCCAAGTCAGACACTAAAACAAGCCTTTTTTTTAACCCTGTAATGCCAAATGTATCATATTTGATAGATACGGTTTCTGAAATGTTTTGCGTCTGACACTTTTTGCATAATTTAATGGTAAAAACTTTGCTGAAAATCCTACTGTACACAATCAGATACACCTGATAACAGGGGGCAGAAGACCACACAAAAAATAATCTTGACTTATCGCATAGTAATAAATTAATAATATCCAAAATGTATTTCTGTTTTTTCTTTTTAAAATGTTTTGTTAAAAGGCCAAATAAAGACTTTAAACCAAAAAAAAAGTCATTTTCTGTTTTGTTTTATTCTTGGATCAGGCTTTAAAGGGTTAACTAAGCTCGTTCTGAAAGCTGCCACCCGGACAAAACCCGACCTGTGATGTGCTGCAGACAGGAGTCCGTCAGTTTGCTACATGAGGCCAGGTTGAGGTACTGGAGTTTGACCAGGTTGGACAGGATCGACAAGCCGGCGTCTGGAAAAACAGAAACGCCGCTCAGACTCTGATCAAACTTCCAAAAGTCCAGCCGGCGAATGAAGGCCTCCGGGCGCCGCTTTTTTTACCGGTGATGAGCGAGGAGCTGACCAGGCTCAGGTGCTTCAGCGCGGTGAAGGCCCGCAGCTGCCGCAGCAGGTCGTTGGTGGAGTACGGGTAGCAGTTCAGGACAAACTTCTGCAGCGGGCAGCCGAAGAACAGCTCCAGGGTGCGCGGGCGCAGCAGCTTCTCCCGGGACATGTGGTTGAGCAGGAGCTCCGCCAGCTCCGGGGTCAGGCCCGCCAGGCTGCTGCTGTACTGCATGCTGGGAGCTGGGGGGGTCAAAAGAGGCCGAAAGCAGAGTTACCACGGTGAAAAAAAAAAAAAAACAAGAGCACGAGAAAAACTTCCGCCTTGATTTATTTATTTATCTACGTTGGTTATGATCATTAACATGACGTTAGCATTGAATTGCTAGCTGCGGCTAATGGCTAATAAAATAACACGCCAACATTAATCAAGACTGCAGGAAGCCAAGGATGGATATCCAACTCCACCCACATCCAAATCAGCCATTTTGATTACGTCACCAATAGGAGGATCCCAGGCAAAAAAATCTAAATTCCTCATGGCAATATAGAGATTCATTTAAAAATAGTGAAATTAATCTTGCAAACAGTTAATTAAACACTATCCATAATATTATGTTAAAATAGTGCATGTTAAATAGGTTTGTACAATAAGTCCAAATGAGTTTAACCAAAAAATATTTATTTCTCACAATTATGAAGGGTGGAGGGTTAGGGTTAGGGTCAGGGTTAGGGTTAGGGTCATTAATGCGGGCTACGGGCCACCATAACATCAGTAACAGGTCAGTTTGAAACGAAAGACACTAACCTGTCAAATTCAGTTAAATTTGGGGGTCTTTGTTTTTTATCCTTGTGGTATCGAAAATGGCATCGAGTATCAAATATTTTCCTGAGTATCGGTATCGAGTTGAACATTTTAGTATCGTGTCGACCCTACTCACCAGTCATCAGGTGGACGGTTGCGCGCGTGGCCAAGGCACAGAGGGACGGCACGTCGGGCGTCCGGAAAGGTCTTTTGGGCGGCGACGGCTGTCCCTGGGAGGCGCTGTGGTCCTCCACCTGCGCCGCCCTCTGCAGACGCTCCACCGCCGCCAGGCCTGCAGCCACCGGCGCCACCGGAGCGCCGGACTCCTCGGGATCCGGTGCGTCCTCCTCCGGTGCGTCTCTAAGAGCCAAGAAGACGCCACGCTTCAGTGTGCACACAGATGAGCCAAACCAGCTGCTCCTCACAAGCAACACGAGGGCGTAAAAGGACTTTTTACCCCAGAACATTTAAGAATTTTTCTGTGAAGATGCGTTATCCTAGTGTCCCTGTCAGAGGTTTGATCTGAGAACGATCTACAGACCAATTCAGCAGAATGATGGGATTTTAACCCATAACTAAATAGACAATGTTTTTCTAAAACATAAAATAAATTGGTTTTTCTTAAAAAGATTGTATTCATTTACTTTTTAAAGAAAACTGTCCCTAAGATCACATAAAATCACTGTCACATGTCAAAGATCTTTAACCATTTTCAACAAATTGATTTTAATTTGTTTGTTACATCTGTTAATCTGGATTCTTATGGGTTATTTGAAAAAAAAAAATTTTTAGTGAAAAACCTACATTTCAAACACTTAAACAGAAAAAAAAAAATCTAGCCCAGTGCTCACTGACATGAAAAAAAACTGCCTACTTTTGCTTGGACCCTGACCACCTTTCACTTTATTTGTAAAAAAAAAAAAAAAAAGGGGGTGGCCTAAGCTAACGTGTGTAGTTGGGTTGCGTTCAGGGACCCACCTGAGTCGATTGCCTTGCTCAGGCCAGTAGTGCCGGGGCTCAAATCCTCCTCGGATCCGGTTCTCTGGAAAGTAAGGCAGCCTGGGCATTCCTGTGAAAACAGCAGAGGTGGATCACCATAACTGACAAAGACACGCCAGCTTCTACTGAAAATAGGAATTGCTCGATAAACAGTTCATTCAACTAAATCCCACATTTGCTGCACAGAAAAAAAAGACAAACCTTTAATAATTAACATTTTTTATGCAGATCTCTGATTGTCCTTCAGCTAAGTCTGACTGAGAGAGTTCTCTTCTCCCTCTGAGCTCACACACATTCAGGGCCCCGTATCGCCACCACATGCTCCAAAGAACTGAACCTGATTGGCTGGCCGTCCTTTTGCACTCAGGGAACTCGGCTCTGAGCGGTGGGGCCGAGGAGTGCTGACTAAATGTACGTTCGACAGATGGGGGCAATCATCCACATATTTCCAAATCCTAATCTCTCTTAAATATGAAACACATTTCTAGGGCAAGCAGTCTAATGCTGTGTGAGCCAGGACTGTTATGCAACGCGGAACATAAAACCGTAGGAAAACTTTCCCAGCTGCTGACGGTGAGACGACGGAAAAAGTTCACTCTGGATGAAGAGTGGAAACGGGGGGGGCGGGGGGGCATTCAGAAAGTAGGTCAAAGGAGAACTGAAGTTTCTTTTGTAGTTCCAGACACAGGGAGCAGTACCATTAAGCACGGGCAGCGGCTCCTGTTCTGCTCCTTGGTCCTCATCGCCTTCTAAGCCAGCAGGATCTGCAGCTTCACCAGGAACCAGCCTCTGGCCTCGGCCTGTCGAACACCAGCAAAATCAGCACCTTACTCCACAGCCCTTTTTAAACACATCTGTTTGAGTCCCATAAATCCATTCTGCACTGCAAAATCAACGTCAAACCTTCAAATGTCTGACCTTGAAAGGGCTTCAGTGTTTCAGGGAAGTTAAACGTATTAATGGATTTAACTAGTATAATTTAATTTCTCACAAAGTTCAAGTAGTTCGGTGTTTCAAACTAAACGTCACAGCGCTTCTGGTAAAACACACTACTCTTAATCTCTCCAAGTCGACGTCTATCAGATCTTTTCTGGTGTGTTTTAGAGGATCTGACTACACTAAGTTTGGAGCTTGAAGAGGATACAATAAGGGAAGATCTTTGTAGGCGGAAACGTGGTGTTTAATTCTTTAGACTTGATTCTGAAACCTCACAGTGTCTGTGTGGCTTCACAAAAATATCTATTTTCAAATATTTTTACATAATTCCAGAGAGATCTACAAGAAACTAGGCTTTAATGTGCACGTTAAGCTGAAACATGAAGGGGAAAAACAAAAGCCAAGTGAAGAATAGCTCAAATAAACTGTTCAGAAATGTGATTAATATTTACCCCAGAAGTGAGAGGGTCCAGACAGAGAAGGAGCAGCTCCGGGTATCCCGGCATAATTCACGGCCTCCTCCCACAGCTGATTAGGTAGTAAGGGTGGAGCAACAGGATCCGGCCCTCCTGCCCCCTCTTGTTCAGGTAATTGTGGCGCAGGGGGAAAAACGGGCGGGGACGGCTCATGCTGAGCCTCTGGGGGGGGCTCTGCTGGGCGTGGCGGGTCGTGGGGCGTTTCTGGGGGAGTGGTTTGTATACACAGTGCAGCGTTAGGTGTGAGGCCCAGAGAGCGCAGCGAACATGCCAGCTCGGCCTCCCCGAAACGCTTCCGCGGAAAACCCTGAAGGAGAGAAAAGGAGGGTAGGGAGGGGTGACGTCCGGTGATGTGCTCCACAACGCTGCGGAGGGGGGCGTCGGCTGAGAAGCGCTCACGCATGGACTCACCGGACGGGAGCCGGATCTAAACCAAAAGGCAGAAAAATCCTGTTCAATGGCTGCCAACAGGCAGCCGAGTTAGACAAAAAACACCTAAATCTGAAAACACAGTCATCGTAGTCTCACCATGAGGATGCAGTTGTTATCTACGTTTGTCTGAATCTTTCCTCCAAGCTTCTGCGCTTGGTCAGAGGGAGGAGACGTCTCTGTGACTGGACTTGTCTGTACTTTCTCCTGCAAGGTTCTCCGATCCTCAGCGATGCGCTTTAACACCAGATCGCGCTCCTGGCAGGACACAGCAGACACCATAAATATAAAACAACCTCTCTACAGTACAGATCTGGCACCAGACAAACAAAAAAAAAAAAGAAAAAGGTTTGGCTCTAAGTGATGCTGCCAACCTGCTTCTTTTGTCTCCTCTCTTCTCTGGCTTCCTGTGCAACGCGTTGCCTTTCTTTCTCTTCAAAGTCGCTCTTGTCTTGTTTGATCCGCGACTCCACCGGAGGCTGATCAGACGGCTGGACGCAGGGCTGAGGCCTCAGAACCAGGGAGCCTGTAAAAGACGAGGGGGCGGGGTGAGAAATCATGATGCTGACTAAATTATCCACATCCAGTCCAAATAGAGGTGCATTACCTCTGCTGTCAGAGGGAGGTGTGTGTGACGTGGAGGCGTTCGCTGCCTCTTTGGGAGGGTTGAAAGCAGAAAAAGCCGTCTCAGCTGGCTGGGACGCCTGTTTGACCAACTTGTGCCGTGGGTACTGACCCTGTAAGAGCCTATCAGGACAGAAGAGATGGACACGTGCCATTAACAGAAGTATACGTTATAATAGCAACCAGAAGTGAGATGAGGTGTGGAAACACTCACCACTCAGCTGCGTCGGTCACTGAAAAATGCCCTGCCTGTACAGCCGCCTGAATCTGCTCCTCTGTGAAACCCATCTCCCTCAGGATGAGGAATAACTCCCCAATCGTCTGCAGGGAAATATCACATTTGCACAGATGAAAACACTCCGACAAGTGTTATTCATTTGGTACTAAATGACAAATCATTAATAGACAGTTATTGTTGCCAAGTACTGAATTAACATGTTGTCATTTAAAAATGAGTTATTCTGGGCAGGCGGGGGAAACTGAGGCCGCATGATAGATTTTGGAAGGGTAGAATAATTGAAGAAGGAAAATAAAAATTGTCTTTGTTGGAGAACTTAAAACAAACTTTACATTGATCTGTTTTAACTGCAGGTTAGCCTTAACTCACCAGCTTTAATATTACGGTGCCTTGCAAAGTTTTGGCAGTTATTTGGGTATGCCGGGATTTTATTTAACAGAAAGACGACACAAACTCTGCCTCCGTGTGTTGCAATGATCAAATATGTGAAGAACAACACATTCAGCCCAAACTGTAGTGAGGAACAACAATGGCTGTCAATAAACAGCGTTAGCATAACAGCTAACTGTTAGCTTACGCATAACGGTAGCGAGAGGCTAAAGCTAACCTAGCTAGCTGGCTAATGCCTCTGTGCAATTCAGAGTCGGACCATAGACAGAGACGTCCATCGGAGCTTACCGGGGAGGATAAGGAGCTCATGCTGTTGTTTCGATGTTGCAGCAGAAAAATCAGAGTGACGGTGGTTATAAAGATTAACTTAGTTGACTTCTTCTTGTAGATAGATAGGAACCTGCGTTGCTAGCTGCACTGACCTCTCCCCCTCTGACTTGCAGATTGCCAAAACATCAACAAAAAAGCAGCCAATCAAATCTACGGACACCCGAGATTTTCTCAGCAAGCAGCAGTCCACAAATCCCAGCTGCTCCTTTTTGATTGACACCTTTTTTATCCAATCGAAGGCCGACTTTAATTTTCTTCCTCACCTTCTTGTGTTTAACCGTTAGTGGTTAATTAAGGGTGGAAGTTGCCAACATTTGTCCCACAAAATGCAAACCGCAGAGCATCAAAGTACAACAGGAAAGCAGCTAAATGTGACAGGTGCCCAAACCTCGAATACTGTTGTTTTTAATGAAGCCACATTATTTTATTTTATTTTTTTCATTTTTAAAGTATGCGACAAAAAATAAGAAGCAAGATAATACAATGCGAACATAATTTTGTACTTTCATTAACAGCAAATCTCCAGCAGAGGTCAGACTTGTACAATGAATTGCACACCCTGAATGTATGACATGTACGTCTATGACTTCCACATGTAAATATAATATTCATACACTGAAATAAAAAAGAAAGAAAGACAGAGAGAAAGAAAGTAAGAAAGAGTCAATAAAGGCCAGACAATTGCTGAGACAGTTCTCCTCCCCTGAGATAAACTTTGTGGATTTAAGAAAATAATTGAAAAAAACAGTCTTTGACTAATCAACATGACACCAAACAAACAAATTGTTTCTGAGTTTAAACAAAATTCTCCCTCTTGGGAAGCTGCTCCTGACATTTTGTATCCTACATTTAGTGGAATTTTACAGAGTTGTTACATCAGTACCACAAAAAACTTTAGGGCCACTTTGTAAAACCTGTGTATCTGAAAGGCAGATAAGGCTGTTATAGACAGAAAAGTTACATAAAGTATTATCTGTTAACACTCGTTATCTATGTGACTGATAGTTCTGCCATCTATTAGAAAGATTAATTGAATCCAAACCAGCTGGTCTACAATATTTCTAAGTGGTAAATACAGGCACCTTCCATTAATTTAGACTATGCTAGCAGTTGTCCAGTTGATTGAGTGTCAGAAACCAAAGGAAAACACGAGACCGCTTCATAAAAGTAGAACTGATGGCATACTTTTATTGGACTGCCTTGGAGTTCAGTTAAGTTTCCAATAAAAAGGACCAGTGAGTTGAAGTGAGTTCACACCTCTGTAAACAGCTAATTGAGCCAAATGAAGAACAGGTGGGGATGATCAGATGACTGTTGGGGAGCAGGAAGAGATGGACAAATGGACAAAGACCAGAGAGCCCTTAAAAAACAAAATTATTATTTGCTGTTTGTTATGGGTGATACACAATACCAGTACCAATATCTGTAATATTAATATAAAGAAACAGAAATGGTGTGATTGTAATGATTTGGTCGCAGCTGACAAAACACATAACCTTTAGAAGGCAGATTGAATTTTGCACAATTTTCCACCGCATATTTTACTTATAATTGAACCAAAAACAAAAGACAAACATATTTATGAAAAAAGAAAAAATATTTGATACCAAATGTTTTTACTTTTTACATTGATAATAATGCAATATTTGCTTTTAGTTACGAAATAACATAAAAGTTATTTAAAAAAAACTGCAGTAGGTTATTATTGATCATCAAGGTGAAAAGTACATTTGAAAGGGAAGTCACTTTGGTTATTAAAAATATCCCTTTCAGATTACGCCCTCTCGTCACTGATCTTTATCTAATCTAAATAGTTTAGTCGGAAAACAAACTTCCGACTAATCATAAATGTTTTTTCATAGTCTTGTTTCACATATATCATCATGAGCTGTATAACGGAACGACTCCCTCCCTCAGAATTATGATTCATCCTTCACGCATGCGCACCAGTGACCGTGCGTGGAAACGGGTGAGGGAAATTGACAGAAATTACCAGAGCAAAAGCGGAATCGGATTGATACGTCTTCCAAATAAGGACACAGACTTGAGATTGGGAAATGAAATAGAGAATGCATTTAACAGTCATGTCGTTTGTAATTATATTCTTTATCTAATCCAGAGTGCCTCCAAAGCCTTTATTGGTACTGTAGCCGGCGCAGGTGTTCCTAATGTATCCGAGAATATCTTAAGTTGAACCATCCCACCGGAAGTGGTGGTGGTTTTATTTTAAGGGATGTGACACGCGCTAAAGGAGTCATAGAGAGAGTTTGAACCGAGTACCAGGCACCGGTGAGTAAATAAGAAATAATCTGTCTGTGACTGAGAGCCTCGTCAGGATTTCGCCTGATTAAAATGCGTTTTTTTCCGCTTTTTTTGTTGTTGCTTTGAAGTGGCGTTATTTCCGACGGGTTATTAACTAATGTCGACTCTGTTTCTTCACTGACAGCCACTCGCTGCCACACACGCAGAGCAGACAATTGTCCCCGGGCAGCGGGGGGGTGACTCGGCTCCCTTTCTCGCCCCGTTAACCAGGTAATGCAACAGGGGGGCGCGCGCCGGGGCTCGAGCTCTCCGTAGCGGCTAACAGTGACACGTACTGACCGCGGTCACGTAGAGTTGGTCCTCGCTCGAAACCTGAATGTTTATCGTGTTTTTTTTGTTTTGTTTTGTTTTTTTCCGAGGCGAAGCTCTCAGCACGACTTTGTGGGGGGGTGGGCTCAGCTTATTCATTCATTCATTCACTCATTCATTAAATGGAGAAACAAGAGGAGCATTGAGTCTTCTGTCCCAGGTCATCTGGCCACATAGTTGCACACAGTTAACAATTAAACAATTAATACTCTGGAAGTTCGCCATTTCCTCCTTAAATGATGGATTGTGTTTGTTGTATCAGACCATAAACCAGTTTTTTTGGTACAATATTCACACCTGAACTTTGTTTCAAAAGTCAGTTTTCTGAAAGTCTCAAACAGCCTAAAAATTCCCATTTTCTTTGCTATTTTGTCCCTTTTTGAAATTCTCTGAGAACATGGAGATATATTAAACGAAATCCCCTCCAGAAGGTGAGCTTAGTCAGTCTCTCATTACGCTAATCAATATGTTCTTTGTGTCTTCATTCGGTTGAAAGGTGAGAGCGTTTGTATGTTGTCAGTTGAGAGTGGATTAAATTAGGTTTAGACAACAAGGAGCATCTGCAGAGCTGGTTTCAGGATCTTCCGTATTGGTTGCGTTTTAACTTCTTTTCATGGATGTGCAACAGAGCGTGCTCATGATCAGGGCCATTCAACCTTCCGTTTTTAACCTTGTCTTCTGTTTTGAGTACAGACATTTCTCAAATGATTTCTTTGAATTATTTCAAGTAGACACAGGAACACTTGAATGTGTTTCCATGCATTGAGAGTCTTTCTTCTGAAACCTGTCTGAACTCCCTGGCTGCGGTTTCCATATAAAATGGCATTGCTGACTTGTGGCTAATATTTCTCCATGTTTCGAAGTGTGTCATCACGTCTTGGGTGTGTTTTCATCTTATTTATTCTGCAGAATAACATGGCATGAGGCTTTGTGTTGCCAGTAAGCTCATCTCACTACTTTCACCATTATTTTGATCTTGTGGACAGTAAATTACCATATAACTGCATTTATTTATCAAAATATAACTTAAGTTTTTTCTTTCTTTTGGTAAATTTCAGTAAACACCAGCATCTGTACCATAGCTGTTTATATTACACATTTACTGACGGAAAATACTTGTTTGCATTTGATGTAGAACTACATCTGATGACTGAATATAGTGGTAAAGACTCAGGAAATGGATAATTTACAAATACATGTAGTAGGACAATCCAGATTTATTCTGTTAAAGACAAGCTTTGGACAGAAAGCAAAGAA